ATGGACAGGAGGGACGTCTCTGTGCTGCCCAACAATAACCACCCGGACAAGTTCCTGCAGCTGGACGCCAGGACTCTGCCCGGGATGTTCCAGGTGGGAGCGCTGGTTTCCAGTCAGAGACACTGGCACAACAGAGTCTACTCACAGGTAAAGACTTCTTCACCTCACTGATTCTGACATGGGGACGGTACTGGGTCACTTTAGGACACAGGAGAGTCTAGAGTCCGTCTGACCCCTGGGCAAAGATTCACAGGGGTCCCTCCATCAGAACGACATATATAAAGAAATAAGAAGTTGGTATGATTGTTGCACAGATGATTTGTCCAGTTTGGATTCACAGTTGAAGAAGCTCTGTGCTTTAAATAAACACAGTCCAGCCTGCTGCAGGGAAAGATTGAAAATGTCCTTCAAATAACAAACAAATGAAGGACATTTGAAGTGATCCTTGCAGCTGCTTCTATACATTATAATCCTCTCTAACTTTAGCCTGAATTACTGCTTAGTCATGCATATTCATGTTTTCTGTTTGTCTGTCACCCTCCTGCAGACGATTTGTGCTTTCTTTTACTTGTTTTTAGTTTTAGATCTCCCGTTCCTTCCTGAAGGAGCTGAGTAGTCTGCAGGGCGAGGCTTATATAGGTCTTTATACAGAGTTAGCATTTAATGACATCACAGCTAAGTAGGCTACATCTCCTCCACATATGTTCACTCTGTAAATCCAAGATGGTGGCGGAGAAAATGCAAATCTCAAGCTTTCAGACAACAGCGTGTGCCATCAAGGTTTCACTGTACAATCTTATGTTCATATTCTCTCGTCCTGGTTTTCTCTCCACAGAGAGAGCGCAGCAGGTTGAAGCCTGACAACAGGCCCCCCCCCCTCTCCCCAGAGGACACCCGGGTGGTGTTTGTGGACAGATACCTGGAGAAACACATCACGCCCTTCACCTTAAAGTCTAACATCAAGAGAAACCCTCTGTACACGGACATCAGAGCCACGGACACCGGAGGAGACGGCAAGAAGACCAAACCGTCCTGGACCGTCAGAGAGTTCGACACACAGACGATGCACGGAAACCTGGGAGATTACTTAAAGGTGAGCAAGGACGAGTGACGGGACGGCGGAGGACAGACGGGTTAAAAACCTGCAGATGGTCAACTGTGAATCAGATTTAAATGAAAACAAAAACATATCAGAACTGTGACAGTTTCAAACAATAGCTTATTTTAGTTCCAGTCAGAGACCCTCCCTCCGCCAGAGGTCGTCCGTCCCCCCTCCCTGTCCCCCCATGATGTTCTGTGAACACCTCAGTGCAGGTTTTAGAAACAGAGCAGAACACATAATATAAACGACTTTAACAGGATGACAAAAGATGAAAAGTTTTGGGAGTTTGTGCTGAAACTTCAGTCCTGAAACAAAAGAGTAAATCTGTCGTTTTTGATACCAAAGAAGAAGAGACCAAAAACAAAAGTGTTGATAAAGATGTCAGAGACTCAAGCAGAGAGAAATGAAGCAGCACTGCCACCAACTGGTCATTTCAGACGTCTCCACTACATCTAAACCCTTCTGTCAAGGGGGGGGGGGGGCTTTAAGTCTCCACAGGACCTAAAGGGTCTGATTTAAATATGTTGAGGCTTATTATTTTCACTTTGAGGTACGGAAGCCCTAAGCAGACAAACGTACATCCACATTTCCGCGTGATGAAGAGAACATTTAGGTTGTTTTCTGAAGATCTTGACTCATTTCTCTCATTACTGCCCGTTTCCACACAGTCCGTGCACGTCGCAGTATGTCCGCTGTTCACTGCCACTCTAGTCAATGATGGTGTTTCCACAGCGAGCGCCACGGTTCGTCTCAGGAGCGTGCCAGCAGCGCCACTATGAAGCAGTTATCACTATCACAAATCAGTGTCATTATCCCGAAATATTGAGATAAATAAGCTGAAATGTGGAGGACACATGTCAAATCACATCCAATGTATGGATGTTTGTCCTCTTAGGGCTTCCGTACTTTGGGTTTAAAAATGCCACTAACTACAAAAATGTTTTTATTCAGGGTGTTTCTTTATTCATTATTTCATGAATGGACAAAATTCACTCATGGTTATGAAACATTACGATGAGAGTTGATCACTTAGACGGTTTTTCTACAACATGACAAAAACAAAGAAACTCAAAGTCCATCTGTCTCTGTTTAAACGACAGCAGATCTTCAGTTTCATTGTGTTTTTCTCTCTGTCCAGGAGGAGGAGAAGACGGCTAAAGATCTAGACTTTTGGCTGGAGGATCTGTACACGCCGGGATTCGACTCTTTGCTGAAGAAAACAGAAGCCGAACACAAACGGAGAAAACTTTGTAAGATTCTGTCCGCAGTTTTCCTGTCGGTTTGTGCGATTCTCGTCGTGATCATCGTGCCAGTCCTCGTTCTCCAGAAGAAAAACTGAAGGACGAGGACAACTTTGAAGACCTCTCCTGTCAAAACCAGAGACTGTAAATATTACTGGACGAAGCCTGAGTGACCTCACCCGTCTGTTCCTGCAGGGGGCGCTGGAGTCCCATCGATGGTGGTCTCCATGCTGGAAATGCTGTCTCAGTCTAACTTTCAGTCAACCTAACAACAGCTGAGAGCTGGAGCTGAGGCGGGTTTTAAGCCTCCTCACAAACCGTTACACCGCGCCCACCTGTCAATCATGTCAGCTACACGCCTTATTGTGAATAACTCTTATCCTTCATCAAATCAAAACTGATGAGTCATCAAAACATTCACCCCCGTACAGTGTGTGTCGATCGAGACATGAGCTAATCACACCTATTTGGTTTTTTGAACCAGGCTGTCAACATGTTAATCTCTGCTGTAAAAACAGGCTTTTTAGAATGGGTGTGTATGTGACTTCCTGTGCTTCTGCAGCCACCCTCTAGTGGACACTCGAGGAACTGCAGGATTTTATACTTCAGCATCAGCTTCATTTTTCAACACCGGAGGTTGCAGCTTGGTCAAAATGTGCTGATCGTTATTTTGTTCTGAAGATTAGAAAGAAATAACCCGCTGATTTCAACGACACGCCCTCATGCACATGAAGGTAATTTCCTGACAACCCGATGGTAAAAACTTTGCGGGTTCTTTCTGAAACATCTGACTTTGCATCTGAATGTTGGAAGTGCAGAGAGATAACGTGATGGTGGTGAGGATTATTCCAATCCAGTTCTCTTCCTGTTATTCTGAATGTCATGATGTAACCAGAGGGGGATCCAGTCTCTGGATCTAAGATTACACCACCATGTCTTCCTAACCACTCGTGTCCCCCTCCTCAGCAGAAGAAAGGTCAGAGCATTCTACTGAATAGTAGACACATACATTGTGCTGTGGTTGAAGCTACTCTCCCGACTATCCTTTCAGTCACCTAGCAACTTAAGCCATTCATTTGCACGCTCTCCCCCACCTACTCTACAGCGAGCACAGTGCATCCAATCTAAAAGGCCCTTATTACTGATATCGGCCCCCAAATTCCATGGATGCGATAGTTTTCTTAAATTTTAATATAAATATTGACTTGTTTTGAATATTTCACGTTTTAAACTTCAGAGTATTTGCTACTGCACCACCATCAGGATCAGAGGCAGATCACTGCATGGGCAAACTGGGCAAGTGTCCAGGACGCTGGGCAATGGGAGTTTGGCCTTAAGAATTATTTTTGCTAAATGTTCTTAGCCTTCTTGCTTTTGGTGGTTTCTCGGGTAAGGGAACAGAGACAGTCAACGAGAGAAAGTAAGCTGCCTTGTCAACGTGCTAAATGGAACTACAAACTATTTTAGAAAATGAAGGATCAATAACTTTTAGAGACTGCTGCTCATATTAGTCTTAAAGGTGCACTATGTAGATTTGGTAGTGAAATTTAAAAGTTAGAGAAGTGAAATATATTTTCTGAACTAAATACACAAACTTTATTCAAAGAAAAAAATGGATCCCTGGACACTGTTTGGAGCTAAAAAGCTACCAGGAGAGTTACGGTTTCACTGTAGTGGCCCCCCAACACAACTTTTCTTGTAGCATTTTATCTTCAGTGTTACAGGGACCAAATTTTCCTCTGAGGTCAGTTTGTGTATGGAGTTATGAACATACCACAGAATCTGTACACTTACCCAACTTTCACATTTCTCTACCAAAACTACATCCACATTCCACATTTTACCTGATTGTGCACGGACCATAATGCGCACCAGAAAGTTGAAGTTCGATCTTTCAGTTTTTATCTGTGAAGAAGCCCGACAGGGTTTAAGTTTCTATAAAACAATACATGACAGAGTTCAAAGAAATATGTGCTGTGTGGTTGTGGGATGGATGTGTAGGTCGGGATCTGTGGTCATGATTACCCGTCCATGATCAGGACTATGAGCTCATGGCGCCAGCTGAGAGAGTTTGAAGAGGGACTTGATCTTTGGTTTGTTTTCATGCACGAGAGTGAAGAAGGAGGGATAATAAAAGAGCACCAACATGAGACTGATTTGATTTGATTTATTTATTGCAATAAAGATGTACAAAGTATTGGTAATCATAAATGTTAAAATGTTAGAAAAAGCATATCTGTGACTGTTAACAGTACAGTGTATCAAAACATTCCTGCTTCTAACCAGCGGGGGTCGATTCCTTCCACGAGAGTGTGAGAGAGAGCGAGCAGGTGTGATCTGCTGCCACCACCACTGCAGTCCTGACCTCTCTTCAAAAAGGCATCGAAAAGATAGAAATACACTGAACAGAGACGCCGTCTGCTCCAATCAGAAAAAAAGCAACTAAAGAAAAAAATTAATCAACATGCAAATTAAGTCACAAACCGAAAAATCGAAAAAAAGACGAGAAAAAAAAAAAGTGGAGAAAATCTAAACTAAAATAAATATCTTTCTCCGTACTCGACTGAAGAGTCTCCTCCGGTAGTTCGACTCAGACGCGTATTTACAGGTTAGTTCATGTGTGAAGAAGACCAAGGATGACTTTTTACACGTCGCCCATCGTCATGGCGAGGAGACAGGAGGGGGGGGGGGAGAAGGGGAAAGGGGGAGGGGCTTTGGCAATCAAAACACGTACACAGTAAGAATGAGACGCCAGGTGAGGACAGGTACAGGTGTGTTTTGGTTTCTTCAGTAGGACTCAGAATCTACCTACGGGACAGAGATGAGGACGACCACACACACGAGGAGTATTTGGTTGTAAAATGTGACGGGAGGTCTCCGTGACGTACCAAAGGTGAATACCCCCCGCCCCCCCCCCCCTTGTGGTCAGACTCATACGTTGTATATACGTGTATATAGAGTTTATATTCTATAGTCTTTAATGTACAAATATAGAGCGACCCGTGACCTCGGAGAGTGACGCCAAACAAACCGGTCAAAGATGCTCTCCTTTGTTTAGACGAGTGCACAACAGCGCCCCCTAGTGGCAGAATCGTCCAAAAGCTTTTTGTTATTGTCCTTAATGTGTGCAACGCATAACTTCAACAACTTGTGCTTGGCTCTACGGAAGCCCAGAGCGGACATTCAGCCATGCTTTTTTTGAACCTCCTTTTCCCGGTGACAATGACTTAATTACCTCAAGATCTCATCGTCTTTATCTCCAGAGATAACATCGCTGCTGATCCTATGATAACGATACATTTCAGCTCTTTCCTCAAGATCGAGAATTTAACTAGTTATGAGAAGACCAGCACTGTTACCCCGACGTGACAAGATTCTCTGGATCTTCACTCATTTATCTCGAGATAATTACGCTGGCTTCCCTGCAAGGTGTTCATTCCTCAAGTTCTCACGAGAAAAGTGTAATTAACTCATTATCACGGGAAAAGGAGCGTCGCAATACGTCCTGAAATCACAGGATTCTCCAGATCTCATTTAATGAGAGATACCAGTGCTGGTTTATATTTCAGTTGTTTCCTGGAGATCTCAGCGTCATTATGTCGGTATCCCGAGAGATTAGCTCCATTATCCTGAAGTAACAAGATTCTCTGGATCTTTGGAATCAAAATTACCAGGCTGAAAGGATGCTGACATAACTACACCATCATGATGCAGATTTATGAAAAGTCTGAATTTGTAAGGTTTGTCCTGCAGGACGTCAAGGGAACTACTTTTAAAACGCTCCTTTTTTGGAGTTTGGATGCAAACTCAGGAGATCCTCCACTCGATGTGCTGAAACAGCAGATTACTGATACTCTTCAGTATGGTGACATCATGTTTGGTGATACTGATGTCACTGATGATACTGACGTTCTCACAGACTCAGAATCTATTTTGAAATTAAACGTCTGCACGCTAAGATTTTATTTTACAACCATTAAAGCAAAGTTTGGATTCTTTCACAGCATTCTGTGCATCGCTACATGGACTGTGACGGATTAAAGAGCAGAAAAAAATAGATTTTATGCAGATGATGCGATCTTTATCCTGTGAAACTTTTTAACAATATATCAACTCATACTCCTGTATCGTGGAACGTATCACATGGACAAACAGCCGTAATCAGCTCTGGATCTCTTCAACTCAGTCGTGTTTTTAATCTTGTTTGTGGTCTTTATCAGAGCGAGTTTCTTCTGTCGATGTGCACAGTGTGTCAGAGGCATGTTTATAAGCCGTCTAGCAATCAAGACTAAGGCCTGAGGGGGGTGCTGTTGTGCACTCCAGCTGAACCTGGGGTCGTCTTTGAGCTTTCAAAGTTTCATAAAGATCTTGAGATCCTGACATGCGTACACATAGTATCAAAGTACTGAGGCTATATTAAATACACTGACGAGCATGAGAGTGTGTACGGCTACTGCGTACGTACTGAATGCACACACACACACTCCCCACAACCTCTCCACACAGATACACACACACACGTCTATAAAGTCCTGGCTCCACACTGTGCAGCTGAAGCAGAGTGATGGTTGCAGCAGTGGAAATGCTAACAGCACAGCAACAATGTGCTAACTGCTAACCGTCTGTGCAGGAAACAAAGAGAGACTATGTATGCTAACTCCTAAAACGGCGGTGTTTATTATCATCGTTATTTTACAGTACATTCAACTAACCTAAGAGTCATGTCACATTCCTCTCCTGAAATTGCAAACATTAAAGAGCAGAGAATGCTAAATGCTAAACCTGTTTTGTTTCTGTGGAAAAGCTGAGAAGATCAGAACGTTACAAATAAAAGAACCCTGTTTCCCTCCATCGCTCTGTGGCAGATTTCACATCTTTACCCAGAATCCTCAGGAACCGTAAAAAGGCTCTTCAATCTGGATTACGTTACAGGTTTTATTTACTTCCTGGTTGTTAGCATAAAGGCTAAAGTTTGGGGTCATTCCCACAGACTGTATATAAGAAGTGGACGTTAGCTTCACGGTCTGAAAAATTAATTGTGGCTCGAACCTGCATTCTCTCTAATGCCCAGCAGGGGGAGTGCTACTTCTCCGTTGATTTGTTCCCTCAGTAAACATTTTCCTGATAAGTTAATGTTCTCAATCTCTAGAATCAAGT